TAAAAACACATTCAAATATTGTGGTACTGAATGCTATTGCTTACCCTTACACACTATTTTAGAGAAATCTTTGGATAAGATACTATCTTGGCCAGGAAGCCTTATGCTTAAACAACTCCCCTGAAAACAGACACAAATTTATGACAAAACAATCTCTAGGCAGTGAGCCACACGAGAAAAAACATGGCCTTTGGGAAAGGGCCCACTCATCAATATCGTTGCATTTTGGAGTAGACCGCTGGGTCCTACCAAACTATGCTGTAACACCTTAAAACAATTCAGAGACCATCTTCTTTCAATCATTTAATTCATATTCAGTTTTTTAAGCATGGTAGCCCGTTCAGCAATGCTGATTTACAAGGAGCCATGCATCTCAACGAAATGAAAAACTAACATAAAATAGAATAAAGTAAATTGTTACAATAGGTCTAAACATGATAAGATACGCTACGTAACCACTCCCAACCCACCCTCTCCTCGCAAATTTCGATACTCTTTTTCATTATTTTAGATTCTATTTCCCCTGATGTGTCAAATTTACAATAAATAGATATATATATATACAATAGATGAAACCTGAAGTAAGATATTAAAACAGAACTAGCAAAAGAAAAATTTTTTTGGACCAAAGCTTTAAATTCTCTAAGAGATGTTGCTTCTCAGTTTCGGAATCTAGGTTATTCAGAAGTTTAGCACCCCTAAACGAGAATGACTTCTGTCCATTACTTGTGTTTTTCTTTGGAAGTCAGTGTCTGCATTACGTAGCTGCCAAGCTGCACTTTGAGAATTTCTTAGAACATATCGCTCATACATGGGGGGCAAGATTGTTTAAAGATTTGTATACAATCGCCCTGCTATCGTGTTTAAGCCCGTCAATGGTTTGCTAGAGGCACCAAAACTGCTATTCGTTACAATCGTAGCAGCTTTATTTGAAAGCTTCTGAAGTTTCGAGGTTTCAGTAATGCCACAACAGCTCCACACAGCGTAATAGTAGCGTAGGTGGGGCTCAACAATGCTAGTTTAGATTTAGTACAGTTATTTCAACAATGTGAAGACGTGAGCTAATTCCACCGATAATATTTTAGCACATTTAGTTTAATACAAAGTTGTTTGTTTGAAAACATCAATGGAAAGCCAGGCCGTGATCTAGCCGTTGACAGAGGGGGATCAAATGATCCAAATCAATAATTGATATTCTGCTTTTTCATAAAAAAGATTCATCTTTGTCCATTTATTCCAACAAGTCGCTGTTTGCCCGAGGAGAAATAATTTATAATTCAAAAACCAAACTTATTTCAACCAGGTTTTGTGGCAGAGAATGGTGCATCAAAAATTAAGCACATTGTTACAGATACCACACACACTCAATAGGGCGGAATTCTCGCCCTCTGGGAATGCAAATTTGCGATTGGACATTGTTGACTTCAATTGCTCTGGCTGGACAAAAGGTAAGTGAACGGGGTGAAATAAGGTCTTCGATTTCATACACGTGGTCTCGCACGTTGTTACGAGCTAATAAAACATGCGCGCGGAACATTCATGAGTAAGCGTCGGTAATCGAACGAACCAACCGATCAAAGAAACTACAAATTTGCAACGTTTAGGGTATGTGGTTTTGTGAAAGCAGACTGAAAAAGATTGTGGCAATCTCGTGAAGTTAAAGGCTGTCAAAAGCATAAAATATGGATCTGGCCTTGCAGATGACCAGGGCAGCAGAGATGGTTGGCTTTAAAGATTTGCGCGAAGGAAGTGGCAACCGCAAAGAAGATAACAAAATGGACGTCCATGGCAAAGATGAAGTGGGTCAAACTGACAATCAATAAATTTATCATATCTTCACTTGATAAATAGTTTTCACCCCATTACATCTGGACAATTGAGCTCTTTTCAGTAGACTGTAAATGTATGGCTTGCTTTAAAACATCTCAAACGAAAGGTTAGAACAAATCTTAAAAGAAACCGTAAGATATAAGCCCCAAAGGGCAGGGCACTAATAGCCTTTTTATGGTCAAATCTTTCCTAATGACAAACATGCCAGTTAAAATGAGAGGAGGAAACATAAATGGAAGGATAAGCATCCGGGCAGCTGAAAGCTAAGATTTATTTTTGAAATGAGCCGATGTTTCGTAGAACCTACGATATTTGAATACAGTAAATTCTCCAATTGGCCCCCCCCTCGAATAAGCCCCCACCCTAGAATTACAAATTGTCAATAAGCCCCCCCCCCTCGAGTAAGCCACCACTGCTACCGTAAATTGTCAAATCGGACCCCTCAATTCGATGATTTTCGCCATCTGAGGTTGCCTATGGCGTTTTCTTGAATTACCACAACAAATTCATACTTTTGGTAGTAATTAATTAAATGCTCAGAAAGAAATTTCTACTAAAATAAATGAGGTCTTTTAATAATGTCTTCTTAATGTCTACAATAATTTTATAAGCCTCCCCCCTCGTATAAGCCCCGTCCTCGAATAAGCCCCCATCCAAAAATATCAAAAATAAATAAGCACCCAGGGGGCTAATTCGAGGATTTACGGTATTTTACACATAGAAGTGGCATTTCATTATAACTTTTCAATATAAACATAGAATAATGCCTTCTCGTGGCATTATTTCAGGAGCGGAGTCTTGTGAAAGAGCGGAGTCTTCCGCCTGTCCGCTCCGCTCTTTAAATTACAAACTTCAATATAAATGACCCTGGTAACTAGGGTGCTATGCCAACAACTTTTATCTTTATCACACATTTCTATCCGACGCTAAAAATACGTTTTCGGTACTGAAGATGAAGATGAAAATTTGAAGATGATAGAGGAAGCATAGCATACTGAAGCACTTTTTGCCCGACCCTCTTCAGAATATGAACAACGGATTATGACCGTCGTCGACGAACTTTTTCTTGTGCGTCCTAGTCTAGTCTAGTCGCGATCTTCGCACTAGTTATTATAAATTCAATAGATTCTTATCGTTTTCTGTAGATGAAAAAGCTGAACATTTGAAGTACGACAATAACAATTCGTGATACCATAGTCAATTGAAAAAGCAAGATTCTAAGCCAAAGTGACAAGGCGATATCGGATACACTCGCTAATCTTGCCAAGGCTGATGCTCTTGATTTCTAGGAGGGTGCATGCACAAATAACAGGAGCAATGAAAATCTTTGTAAATCTACCGCAACTAAACTCGTGGAAAATACTACAACCTCTCTGAAACCGTTGTTGAAATTCAGGTCAGCACAGCGATTACATCGAATTCAAAAAGTTTATGCACGAGAAATTACTCGCAATCAAAGCGTTGGTTTTGAACCAATCTATAGGTAATAGAGAAAAATCCCCCAAGGCACCCTCCAAAGATTATGAGCTTCTTGATGGCAAGTTTGGAGGATAGAATAACCTCGCTGGAAAGGCATCTTAATCAACAAAAATGTTGATAAATTGATGGAAGAACGACGCCAATTCAGTGTGGATGAAATCATGGCACAAAGCAAGAATTCCCCGAGATTTGAGGGACATGAGACAATTCCTCTAGAACCGAAGAGGCAGTCCAAAAGCAAATTTTCCACACCGAACAAAAGGGGTACAAAAGTGAGAAAGAAAGCATCAGCTACGAGCGACAAAGCGACTTTTTCAAATAGCGCAAAAAATGCTCATGGTAAAACAGCCCCTAACACCTCTGTCCACAAAAACAGTCAGGAAGAGCATGGTCATAAGAAAAATTATTACTATGGGAAGTGTCTAAGCATGAAAAGGAAAGAAAGAAGAGGGTCATCGTAGGAGGAGACTCAATGTTAAATGGAGTTAACGAAAAGGGGCTTTCAAGGAGATATTTTGTAAAAATTCATGTCAAGTGGTGTGCATTCGGAAGATCTTTAAGATCATACCAAACCTATCTCAAGAAGAGTACCCTGCTTTGTTTTTTACATATTGGGACAAATGATATGAGCAGAGATGTAAATACTTTAGACAAGCCGATAAAGTAGTTTATCATATAAAGAAAGAGTCTCCATTTTACATGGGAGGTCGTTTCATCATGGGCCTTAAAAAGGGCCAGATTTAAACGGGAAGGATTGGGGGTGGAGAGGGGGGGGGGGTTGTTAAACGATGATTGGACTTTGGTGTCAGACATTTCAGGTGACTGGAAAATAAAGGAATACGAAATTCAGTTTTTAACTTTAAGATAAAGAAGATAAATAATGCAACTTCTTGAATCATTTTGCGACTACCGACAAAACCACATCCCGGCTATTACAAACAACTCATCAGCATTTATGGTTTCGAGAATGAGCGTAGAGATACGATTTTCAATGGGGGAAGGGTTGCAAACTATATTAGGGGTTCCATTAACTACAAGCTCCGAAAAAAATTCACATATAGTCTGCGCAACAAATAAACTGATCCAAGGCTGCCTAAGAAAAGTATCACAACGAGGCAAAAATGTTTTTTGTGCAAAGGTGCGCAAATTTGGAACAGCTTCTCAGTCGACTGTAAACAAGCAACCTCCAAGGATCTTTAAAAATTGTCTCTAAGTATTTTAATTTTTAACGTCAATCAATATTCCACTTAATTTATGTTTTATAATATACACTCCTTTTATTGTCACTAAAATGTTTTTTAAAAAATTTTGAATTAAGTATTAAGCAATGTAGATGGGGGCCCCCTTGAAAATCAGCTTCTTTGCTGAAGGGCTATCCTCCCTAAAGAATTTGAAAATGAAATGAAATGACCGAAAGTAAGCAGAAAATTTATATACAGGCGTGGAACGAAAACAACGTGAGAGGAAGAAAGACACGTTTGATTGGCTGTTATGTTCTTAACCAATCAGCGACTCCTTAGGCTAGGATTTAAATTTCTGCCTACGTTTGGACGAACAGTACTTCGGTATGCTTATTTTCGCTTCTTCGTGCCATCTTAAAAAATTTGCAACTTAAATAATTTCAGTCCTACTCACATTTGTGTTCCTTAGTTGCTTGGTTGCAAGATGACACAAAAACAAGACCATGTGAATCTGACAGTAGCAAAAAGCTGCGCATTTTTTTGTATCATACATATGCTTTGTATCTTGTGCTCATCTACTACAATTATCGAAATAGTTCAAGTAGCAAACGATATAAAAAAATGGCAATTCAATACTAATAAGTCTGTACTGTTTGTTTATCTTACTTTTTAACATCAACCATCATCCTTGGCGCAATAGACATGGACATTAGTTCTTGGAACAACAACTTGCAAGCGTAGGGGATTTGGATCTGTGATATCTAAAAACAAAGAGACAAGCACATTTAGATAATATTTGAATTTTGAAGCACTTGTAGGGATGCGATTAAGTTTGCTAATGATACGTAAGGACACACGTTGATTAAAGCATGACATGTTGAAGTGTAAAATCCTGTATAAAGATTCTTGCTCTTATTCTTATTATAATTTCAACAATGACGAGCACATTTTTCCCTTTTTTTAGTTAATGTCTTTTGTTTGTGCTTGTAATAGTCTTTTTCTCTGAAAACCCAGGCTAGCCAATTACAAATTACCTTTGTAATAGTGAAATTTGTAATTGTAATTGTAATTGGTTTTAATTGAATTGAAAATGAAAAGTTTCCATTATTATTATATAAGCCAATTATATGATGCCTGTAAAAGCGAGTCGTATAATTGTAAATTTAAAATGTATTCAATGAAAATGAGATGTTTAAAAAATTATTATTATTATTATTATTTTTATCATTATTATTTTTATTATTATTATTCGCGTTTTTTTCTTCTCTCATTGCAAAAGTTTTATTTTGTTAAAACAGGCCAGTTACAAATAACCTTGTAATGTTGAGATTTGTAATTGTAGTTTTCACAGGAATTCAAAATGAAAAGTTTCCATATTATTATCATAACGAATAAGGGGTCAACAAATACTTTGAACCCAAGTAGGAGGTTGCCTTCCAATAGACCAGGTTCATTGAAGAGTGCTAAAACTTTTCAAGGAATATCAATTGAAGTCAATGATAAAATTTTCAACTGATGCTGGTGGCGAACAGCACCCCATCAATTACCTCGAGTTCATAATAAAGGCTCTACCCCTTTTTTAAATTTTTTGAAAAAAACCGTCAATGACATCCTTATTCCAGGTCCCCAATAAATATTTTGAGAAAGGGCAAAGTGAATAAAATCAAACTTGCCGTAGTTTAAAAAAGCACATAGAGAATAAAAAGAAAGTGTGGAGAAATTACTACCAATGAATATCTCTCATGAAAACGCTTTTTATTTTGAGAAACCAGTGTTCTCTTTAGGACCTTTTCTGTTTCCAGTTTAAAGGGAATGTTGGCAAGTCACTGCTTTTAAAATTTTTTTTGGAAACTTTCAACTCATCCCGTTCATTTTGAACCCTCCATCTATTCCGGTTTTGGGAGTACGCTGGATTAAGGTGGAAGCTGTTAGCCTACGTAGTGTTTAAATTGATAAATTAAGAATATGATACTCAGTATCGGTATGTACAACTTTCTGTTGTGAAAGCAGCACGTTTCTGTATAAGTGCCTTTCTGCATTGGTTGAATCACCACGTACCTGTGTTTTGTTTTTGCATCCCCTGCACTCAAACGTGTTTGTCTTCAGGTTTGCGATTGCAATTAGGCCACATAAATTGCAAATATGCACTCTATATGGATCCGAGGCTGCAAGAAGCCTCTCATTCAAAAACTGGGCAGCACCGTGTGCAATTTGACAGTCACGCTCCATTTCTCCGAATCGCAACCCACCGTCCCTGGAAAAATATACGATATCAGTACAGGAAGCTACAAAAATGTCAACATACTTTCAAATGAAAGACACTTATATAAAACAGAGCATTTGACCTTCAAATACATAGGCGACTACATAGAGAAGTAGCCAAAAATATTTGTTTGCTACAACAAAGGTGCAGAGAGAAGTCAAGGGCTAAACGATACGGCAATCACAAGATTCTGAGTCTTATGAAAATATATGAGATCAATAGAGGTCTAAATGATTGGAACACATTTATGATTTACTAAAATCGACCTAACTTTTATATATTATCCATTCAAGTGCATTTATATTGTGATCAAAGGAAGGTTGATACTAGCGCAAAACAAATTTTGAAAGCCCTGAAGTTGCGTTAGGCCTTTACTGAACTGATGAACATAACAATGGGTAAAACTAAAGGGCTTTTCATTGTATTTGATAGAATAACATAATCGAAATACAATATCATAATGGGGGTTACAAGCTTTGTGCATGCAAGTTAGGCCAGCTGAAATGTCACATGAATCAATTGACCTATAGGTTTCAAGTCAAAGTTCATATCACTTGCAGCTATGTGGGAGGGAGGGTCAGAAATGAGTTAACCAGGTCATATAAGATGCTTAAATGACCTGGTCAACTGGACTCGGTCGGTTTACCGAGATCAATTCTATTCCATGATTATATGCAGCCAACTAGCCGGGTCAGCCGGTTCGAGTTCGTTTGCTTGAGCACGTGACTACTAGGTTTATCTTTTTTTGCGTAAAATTACATGCACACTTCAAGTATAACCATAAGGGTTAACTGAGCTGGCCCGTTTATGTGTGCTTATATAAAAAAGCCAATCGCATTCTGCGAAAATTCAACCGAGATCTCTATTGGGCACATTTGCAAACATGATAATTTCTTAGTTCATAAGGAGCTAACCGGGCCTCGATATAAATACCTCTGAACGAAAGTGAATACCTCTGAAAAATGAAGAACGAACGAACGAATGGTATAACCAATAAATTCAACGCTTGGAAGCTAAATGTTTTGCAGATGGATGAATCCTTATAATCTATATAAATAGATTTTTTATTCACAATCAATTCGCTAGACTTAACATATTAGCACAGAATTACGGAGGGGGAAGCTTCAACTAATTAAATAAAAAAAACGATGTTCGAAGGAAAACAACACAGAGTAGGATAACAAAATACCTCGATCTTCCTTCCATAGGTTGCCTTGTCAAAATCTGCACCGGACCACGCGCTCTGGAATGAATCTTGTCATCGACCATGTGCTTCAAGCGCTGATAATAAGTGGGACCAAGGAAAATTTGACAATTGATTTTGCGACCAGTATGTCCGTTGTACAGCACCTGATGCAGAGGGATATTATCTCAGTGCAGTTAGGATATCGAGATGAACAAATTCTGGTGAACTGTTAATGACTAACAATAAAAAAAGTTAAGATAAAAATATACACAAAAGGAAAAGTTTTTACAAACAATGGACGCCGAAGAGCAGCAGATTCTCGATAAAAATCATAAGTTTAAATGAATATTTAACCCAAAGAGCTCTGCAAAGATTTGTTCTTGAGAAGTTTTAAGAGCAGTAGTAGCTATCTGTAAAATTCAATTATCAGTTAAGTATCTATAGAAAAATGGAGATGAATCGGCATAACTAATGCTCGAGCTACTTGATGTAAAATCAATCACAATCTGTAACAATCCGTGGCAATCGGTAACAATCTAACGATGTATATTTACCCAACTTTTTCTTAATTAAATAATTTCGGTCTTTTGCAAAATGTAAGACAGTAGAACAATATCTTTTGGCTGGCATGTCCCTAAATGCAGCTACATGTGGCCTTATCATTGATTGATTTGCAGTTTTTCATCCAAATATTTGTTTTTGCATTAGATGAAGATAGCGTTCATTATAGTATGGTTATAGCCTTTCTAGTAAACTAATTAAAAAAAAATCTAGAAAAAGCAAAGTAGGGTTGGGATATAGAGAAGAAGAGGAAATGGATGACAACTGTCCCATTATTAAATGTAACGAGCATCGCATCGCCGACCCGAGGCTGCTTTTCATACCTCGTTTCCACGCAAATGATAGCCGTACTCATTTAAAAGTTTTGAGATTTTCTGCACGTTCACAGCGTCGTTGAATGGCGTCGCGTCTCCAATTTCGCCTTTATTTGCTGAAACCTTGAAAAAAATTTACGTAGTTAAGAAAAACTTATAAAAACTTCAAATTACAAGACTACGGATGCATACAAAACAAAAAAATTACTGAAAAAACTGCAAAGTTTAAACAACGCAAAAAGTAAATCTCTTTTGTTTATACATTTGCAATGCCTTAGAGGTGATACTCTTTTAGAAAATTTCACAAATTCCCAAACAAAAGGGACCGTTTTCCCACCTCTTTCACAAATCACAAACTATCTTTTCAGACCTAATTAGGAATGATATGAATTTAAATGTTTCAAATTGTTTGTAATAGGCCATTTCCAGTTCGTGACAAAAGCTTGCGAAAATCAGGTAGTGATGGTCGAAGATGCATTTAAACAGTTGGACAAGAAAATGTTGTGGAAAGAAATGAAAGTAAGATTTCCATTTGAAATCATTTTGTGTTCTGCGGTAAGCATGTTTCATTCGAAGGTCCGGCTTTTACCAGATGGTATAAAGCGCCCTTCCATGGAGCAGTTTGCCCTTGGCTATGTCAACCAGTATTTTTCAGGCTAGCTGGGTTAACTCCTCTAAAAGCATTGGTACCCCTTAGAGGCTATCTTTTAAGAAATCCTTAACAGTTAAAAATGCATATATGATACGATAAAGCTTCAAACATAACCAGAGGTGGCTGGGAGGATGGGCAAAAGGTATTCAGAAATCATGTGCCACACCCTTTTTTGAGTCATCACTATATATTTTTCAGACAACACATTTTCATTAGGGTTAAATGAGAAACAAACCTTTGCCTTCACTTTTCATCAAACAGAAATTTATGTTATATAAACAGCAAATAGAACTTTCAAAGGCAAGCAAGAAATTTCTGGTTTATGTCTTGCACGTTTTTAGTTTGCTTCAGAAAAAGTAATTTGCTAAATTTGGAATGCTAATGGCTAAGCACGATGCACATAGACAATCAAGACACGTGTAGAGGACCCAAAAAAGATCAGCATACGAAAATACCTTTCCTTGCAGACATTCAATCAAATGGCCAATGGTCATACGACTTGGAATGGCATGTGGATTGATGATAATATCAGGTGTGATCCCCTCGCACGTAAACGGCATGTCCTAAAAATGAAAGTGTTTTATTGAAAAGAAATCTCAATTTGTCTTGATTCTTCAGAGCGGGCTGATCTCCTTCTTGTTGGGAGACGAACCATCATTAGTGATCGATGACTTTAGCAAACTGCTTGTAAAGGAGAAAGTAGCATGGACGAATTCATATTGTGGATGGAACATTTGTGTCTCTTCTGGTGCAACTTGATACCAAACAGTTTTATTAAATGATGTGAAGCACTATGAGAAGTGATTTGTTTCTGTGAACTCACGTCCTAATGTTCATATGATATTGCGCGATTTGTCACACTTTCTCATTGGTTTGGAAAAATAGCTGGAATAATACCCCTGAACTATCGGAATCTAGACTTGTGTTCTAAAAAATTACACGAGCGAGGTTTACTGCCATCATCAATAAGCAAGATGAGCTCGCTTGGCTAATCAGCAAAAAAACTTAACTGTAGAACCACATTTTGCTACAATGTGACTTTCCAAGTCTAAAATTAACACCAGGAAAAGTCAACCAATAAAATACTAACAACAAAGGAAGTTAGGAAATCTGCAGTGTTTTCGGCATATAGTATATAAAAAAAGAGAAAGCGACAATTCTAACGAGTCGAAGCAACAAAAACAGAGTGACAATACCGGGTCCTTACCTCTTGCCTATACGTAATTCCGCATGTTCCCTTCTGTCCATGCCGACTAGCAAACTTATCACCAATTTGTGGGACTCGAACTGAACGCACCTGAGAAAACAGATATCAAAAATAAAAAACGAACAAATGAAACGAAATCAAATAATTAACAAAGGTTATAAAAAATTCGTTTAGGAATTGAATTGATAAGTATTCATTTAGCAGATAAAGATTGCATCCATTTTCAGTCAGAAGATTGGCAACACCATAATGATGCACGAGCTTAATACAATAGAAACGGCGAGTGCTTGAATTTTCCTTGCTGAATGAAGTACCTTGATTTTGCAAAATTTGTAGCCTTCATCGTTGATTGTGACCATGACCTGATCAACAATGCCGGTCTCACTTGCTCTTAAGAACGTGCTGGCATCTCGCTTCGTGAATCTTCTTGCTGATCCTTCGAGCTAAATGGAAGAAAACACGATCAAATTTGTCAATGCTTCTATGACAAGGCAGAGACCTAAGGGCAACAGGGGTCTAACAATACTTCAAAGCATATCAAAACTGATCAAGCTAGCCTATTATTTGCAATGATAAAGATATAAACGGGGTTTTAATGAACACCAAGGTAAAAACCGGGCTATCAAAATGAATTTCTCATAAATACACTTAGCAGAAATTCATTTTAATAAAGAATCAAAATCAAAGAATAAATTCTGTCCTCAAGAAGCTACATCGCAAATTCAAATACATTCTTCAGAGCGATACTTGACAAAGTGTGGAATCTAACAGTTCTGTTGAAAATCTAGAATTGATCTTTGAAACTAACATTAGTTGTTATCTTCTTAATTTTTCCTTTATTTTCATTTCTATATGTTTTTCAAGCTTTAATTCTAGAGCAAGCTAATCTACATCCTGATAAGTAAAGAGCTCGTCACTGGTGTACATAGCATCCACATGCCGTCAAAGAATTGCCTGAGAACATTCTTACCTCATCATCATCTTCGGGCAAGGTGACAGTTTTGCCAATAATGACGTCATCTCCGCTGACACGTGACCCTGGTGCAATGAGACCATCATCGTCTAGTTTGTCGTAAATTGCATTCCTCATTCCCTGGCAGCTGTCTCGGTTTGGCCTTTCGAAAACCTCTTCGTGATCCATGCCTCTTCGTGATTCAGAATCGCGATAGGAGCGATAAAACACGGACCGGAAAAGCCCTCTGTCGATTGCTGATGCATTCAAAATGACGGAATCTTCTTGGTTGTAACCGGTGTAGGATGAAATCGCGACGATTGCGTTTATTCCTAAAGAAATATAAAGTATTTTTTATCGAATAGGGGCGATGGGTGTTCATTAATACATTTAAACAAAAACGCAATACAACAATATCATTGTAACACAATGAAACGGTCCATTGCAAAGCGGCGTCCGTTGCAACGCGGCATCCATTGCAACGCTGCATCCATTGCAACGCGGCTAACATTGCAACGCGGCATCCATTGCAACGTTCGTTGCAACTGGTGGTCCGTTGTCTTGAGATTACCTGAACAAGGCTTTGACTACAGGAAAGAAATTTAAGACTTTTTTCATTTTGAAATTATCTACTCAGGGTACAAATTCAGTCTAAATACTGTTTTACAATTGGCCCTGCAAAAACTACTTACAAAATTAAAAAGTTGTATACTATAAGATTTATTATAAAAAGAGCGGAATATGGCTAAATCAAAGATGTATAAACTTACAACAATACACCTCAATATATAAAAAAGGATCATTTTCCTTGAGTTTGGACTTGAAGGCATTGATTGAGCGAGCCATTTTTGTGTCCAAACAGAGACTGTTCCAGAGACTGGTCCCACGATACGCAAAGGATCTGTCCATTGCCAGTTCTCAACATGGGTATTGCAAGGTCTGTTTTAGAGTTTCTTAACTCTCTTGGATGTACCCCGGATAATCTCACGAATAGGTCACTGAGATGTTTACGTGCAAGAGAGTTAAGAGATTTGTAAACCATAGAACCTGTTTTTTATTAGCATCAACAGGGATATTTCTTACTACTCTGGCGGCTTTATTCTGTAATTTTTGAAGCATGTCTAGCTTTGAAGCACCACAAGAGCCCCAGATGGAGCAACAGTAGCTGAAATGTGGCTCTATGATACTTCTATATAAATTTATCAAAGTGCCAGATAGAACAAAATTTTGCGCATACATCAATAGACCAATTGCTCTGGAGGTCTTCTTCTGTAGCACGCTAATGTGACTTTCCCAAGAAAGGCAATTATCAATCACGACTCCGAGGTATTTTGTCTCGTTTATTAGGTCGATTTCCTCGCCCCCTACCCTAAAAGAAGGTAGTATGCTAAGGTTGTTCTTTAGTTTTTGAATTTTTGTCTTACAGCCAATTATCATAGCTTGGGTTTTGACAACATTAACGGTAAGCTTTTTGCCCTGTAGCCATTTTCCAATGCAAGAAAGCTCCTCGTTGATTACTAGGTCCAGTTCATCACTTTTATCAGAAGAATTCGGGATTGCTGTGTCGTCGGCATACATTGTAGTCTTAGCCTTCTTAAGAGCAAATGGCAAGTCGTTTATGTATAGAAGAAAAAGAAGAGGCCCTAGGCACGATCCCTGTGGCACTCCGATATCAATATTTTCGATGCTAGAAGTTGTGCCATTGACTCTACAGTACTGCTTCCGATTATCAAGATAAGAACTGAACCATTTGTGTGGATGTACAGTAATTCCATAAAATGGCATTTATCTAAGAGTATTTGATGATCAACCGTGTCGAATGCTTTCATGAGATCTATGAAGATCATCGCAGTATACCTCCCGTTGTCTATGTCGATGTACCAATCACTAGTTCCTTTTAGCAGACATGTCAACCGAATGCAGAGAACGAAATCCTGAATGGTGAGACATTAGATACTTTTGTTTATTTAGGTACCGGTATAATTGATCATATATAGGTTTTTCGAAGAGTCTTGACATGACCGGTAGAACAGAAATAGGACTGTAATTAGACCGCCCATCAGGCTTGCCTCCTTTGAAAATAGGGGCCACATGGGCTATTTTCCAACTATCTGAGAAGGACAATGAATATATGGAAAAGTTGAAAATATCAAAGATGGAATTACAAATCACGGGAAATGCAATTTTAAGGAAGTTACTCGCAATGCCATCAGATCCAAACCTGAGAGATTTTTTCATTTGATGAAACTATGTGACGTTGTGAGGAGGAGTCCGTTCACGGAGGCGTCCGTGCGTAAAGTAAAAACAGTTGCTCCAGCGAAATCGAAATGATAGCATAATTAAAGAAAATAGGTTAATATCAGAGAGATAAACTCTTCCAACAGGCGTTGGCACCTTAATCTTGGTTTCCAATTTGCCTTCGAGGTCAAAGAAGCGAGAGAGCGGGTAAAAAAGATAGTCAAATGAAAACGAAGCATTGTGATATCCATCTCATGGGTGACAGTACCTAGTTGCGAGGCCCAAATGGAAACTTCACTCCAGAAGAGAAAGGTGTCTGAATAACTTACAAAAACTAGTGAAAGAATTGCTATTTGTGATTTTTTGTAGCAGACACCTGGACAAACAACATGACTAACAGAAATGAGTCATATAGAGTTCCTGCAAGCCTGACCGCACCTCATCATAATTTTGGCAACAAACATGAAAATAGAACATCACACACTTTAAAATACACCGACTTCTCGAAAACAATCTGTTTTGAAAGCATGACAACAAACAGATAATTAAGCTCTCTTTAAATAGAAACTCAGTTCTTGACATTTTGGCAAGACTTAAGATTCTCGGTCTCCCAGTGTGCTCAGTTGAACGCAAAAAACAACAAAGTCAATTCAATTAGCAAAAATTGAAGCATAAAACTTTTTAGTCTAAATGTCCGCGAACGCTAACATATGGTCTTCATAAATGTTTCTTATCCCTACCCCTACCCCAAATGCTCGCCTTCAATGCTTCCGGAATTCACAAGCACGGCAATTACGCCAGCTATTTCTGTATCGTTTTGCAAATGACCCCCACTGAGCCTCAAATGCATTAATTCAACACCTTGTTTAGTTGAAAATAACTATTTATATCCAAGGCGATAAGTCTATGGTCATCACTTCATATGCTTGTAATGATCATAGTGAATCTCAAACCGGAACTTAAACCGGTCCAGTTTGCAAATTGCAAGGGTCGATATTCGATGGCCGATTCCGGCGTTATACCTCTTTCAAGTTTTAATCTGTTCTCAAAAGGATCCGGTATAAAACAGGAAACTTTTTACTCTACCAACGATATCTCTCTTTTGGCAAAAATACTGGTAGGGGCAAAAGGAGTACCATACATGATTTGCAACCTCTTCAATTGAAATATATATATAAACGCAAAATGTGTCAAGGCATACTATCGCTAGAAAAATTGGTACGCCAACTGCAACATCACACATTCTTAATGATGAGTCAAATTATAAAGGGCAATGAAGAGCATTTCGTGAAACGTATTTCGAGTAGTTCGGCCATAATGTTTCTCGTGAGATTTGAAACAACAACTTAGTGCTGTGAAACGAGAAAAAGCTACAAAGGCCAGAAAAAGTTGTTGGTCAATTTTTTGGGTAAATAAGTTAGTTGGTTTGAATACGTCAGAATACAAGTGGTTTGAAAAGCTTTCAGAATACAAACTGCGGATGAACAGAAATTAAAATGCAGGTGTAATTAGCCAGTAGGTCGTTATTGCAGATCACATAAAATGTAATGTTTCTAGTAAATTTGATGTACTAAATTTTGAATAACTTCATAACATTGCGTACAATTCATACTTTATCGCGGAAAGTGCAGTTCCGTTCGGCATATTTGAGTGAGAAGTGTTAAATGAATATCAAGTTGCAAGGGAAAGTGCCGTCAATAGAAGGGTAACAGACACAATTTTACACCTATGAATAGCAATATGCAAACGTTGTTGAGAGAGGGTTGTTTTATTCCCTGGAGAAACGACTGTTCTTGTCGGCTTCAAAGGTGGTCTCTAATGCGTTAAATGATGATTTGTCTAACAGCTTACATTTTCAAACAGAACTAACCACAAACTTGACCTACCTGCAGGCAGCTCGCTGAATTTCAGGAAATCCATGGAACGTGTCGTGACCAATGGCTTTTGTGGGTAGTATAATACATGGGCCAGGGTGTCCATTCGAACATGGAAATTGGTAATATACACCCCCATGGCTTGCTTCCCCATAGCCGATTGATATGTGTTCCTCGGCGACTGAAATAAAACATGGTAAATTTTCAAGAAAATAAAGCTGTTTTTATTCAATGGCTGTCTGTTGAAGGGCGTTAGTGTGTGGAAAAATTTGAAATAAACCTAAACCCCACACACAACAGTTGATTCAAGAGACGGCAACAAGTGAAAAGATGGAACAGTGATCACAAGTGATAAGATGGAACGACTATCTTGTTCTAGGTATGATGCAAAACATACTAGGTAAAAATAACACTGGAATTGAAATAAAAACGAACAAGGATATTCATTATAGAGAACGGAGAAGGCGGGTGTAGGCAACTCTGTTTCATCGCTTCAGCAAAACAAACTCGCAAAGTAGGATTCTTTACTGAAACTTGAACCCTTGCAGTTCAAAAAATAGGTGTCATGTGCTCTAGCTGCAATGCATTGCGGGATGTTAACAGGGTGCCAAGTGTACGAGCACCAAATCTCCAAGAAGGCTACTTAGCCGCATATTTGGTGCCTAGAAGACAACCCATGTGAGGTACTTGGACAGGGAGTGACAATAATCAAACAGCTATTGTATATAAATTACAAGTAAAAAACAATATCGGTTTTGTGAAATCCATGAATTGTAAGGTAGAAACAGGGAATGCCATTCCTTGTTACTTCCATTTTTCAAACAAAAAACAGTGCAAGAAAAAAGGAAAAAATAATGTAACAAGGCAAAAGAAATGGAATATTCCATTAGCAATGTTATTGTATTCTTAAATACCTGAAGACATAAAGAAATTTCAAAATTACCTGATTATGATCCGGAAAGGGGATGATAGAGGCACAAACACCGAGGATCATGGATGGGTGAATTTCGCAATGGGTGTAGGTGGAGCAATAGGTTTCTGAGTCCAAGTCATCAGGAGTCATAGCTATCATGGCGGTCTCTTCCTCGTTCACATCCACGTACTCAACAACGCCACCAGCAACGAGGTCCTGCCAACTGCAAACAAAACTAGCAATCAGAAGGGATGAACAGATCCTCTTTGCACTCTTTTAAATTAAATTCAATTCAACTTAGTTAAACTCGACTTTATACAAACGTTTTTAACAATTCAATTCAATTACTTTACTAAGCAAACATTTATCAAAGACTGTGATGTTTTTAAAGACTGTAATGTTGCACGGAATTCAACAAGTAACATAACGTAATTACATTACGAGCTACGAGAACATAATGTTTACAAACTCAACTTTTCGGCACAGATATTGGAAATCTCCCCCAGTTAAGAAAAAAAATTCTAAAATTACTCAGCCATCTATCAAATAAGCTAAATGACAGATTGAAATATAATAAGACAATAGAAAAACTTACTCATAATTTTCATAAACTGCTTACCCATAATTTTCGTATTCTCTCTCTTTAAGTTTGTCAATATGAGTTTTCTTCAATAGCAGTTTCTGGTTTTCTACAATGAGCAAGGGTCGGCAAACCCTGCCAGCATCAGTGTAGATGCGAATCTCTTTATCTGTGATGTCACGCACCATTGATACCTAGAACCAAAAGATACCATTGGCAATGAAGAAGCACATTCGCTTTCATTTTTTGAATGCCCTTAAAATGTTTTCGTACAACAAGTTTAAACGGATATTGTAGTAATTTGAAATTGTAAGGCAACTCTGACAAAGTTTTGAAATTATACCGAATGTCAGAGTTAGCTTTGCATGCCAATGTCTTGTTACTAATTCACAGATACTTTTTGAAATTAAAACTCATGAAGCTCTCACCTCAGACACAATGATGTCCATCTGCCTTCGAAGCTTCCGTAAAGTTACAATCAGCTGCTCAGGGTCGCGGTGAATACCAACCCAACATCCATTGACGAATATTTTCGTGGCGCTGAAAAGGTTGGTCAATGATCCAAATTATTAGAAAGCAGCGAAACAGAATCAGATAATGTACTGCACGGGGTATGTGTATAACGGGGAGAATTTATGAGCAAAAAATGTTGTTAATGGGCAGTTTAATATGACTTTCAAATCGCAGTAAAATGCTAGCAAGCCATAGCAGTTTAACATAGCAACTTTATTTCAGTTGAAAGACTTGCTGCATTTTTGCAACCAATTATGGAACTTACCACAAGGGTCACAAAGAAGAGCTATACGATCAACATACGCCGGGTTTAGTGCTATGAAACACAGGTGGGCGCCACTAAAGAAATTCTCAATATAAAAGCAATAGCTAGAGATAGAAAGGTGAAATTTTTTTGCATTAGCAAAGGGGCTCTAAAACCCTGAATATGAGTCAAGAATGAATTCTAGAGTACAAATCACATTGCTAGATAATAAAAATACTTGCAGGAACGAAGGTTCATCAAGCTTATATTACCTGATACAGAAGTCAATTTTTTTATTAAATGTCAGGTACAACACTACGTAAATGCTTTAAGCAGACAGTAAGCATGCATTCAAAATATCATTAACATATAAAAATTCATAGACCAGGGAGTTTGGAAATTTCGAAGGTAGAAAAAGCTTTCATGCAAAATCTAATGATGATTTAAAATAGGATCAAGAAAAATTATTCTCTTTACTTACTCTTTAATTGCCGATGGACTAATTTCTTCTAGATTTTCCATAGTCCATTCTTCTAAAAACTCTAAGATGGGACTAGGTTGGGAGCCAACACTAATATATGCCATCAGGGCAAGATTCTTCACAAGGCCTACAGCTTGACCCTTATAAAAAAAATTGGTAGACTGTAAAATTTTATCCTTATCACGTGCATTTATGCTATTTAAGTATTCTGCTTACTTAAAATGAGTTTATAATATTAATGATATATAATAATTTCGATTCATCACAAAATAACACAGAGTATTATCAATTATTTCAATAAACAGGAAAAAGCAAATCAAACGATATCAAGGTCTACCTCTGGAGTTTCAGCAGGACATATCATTCCCCACAAGGTGTTGTGAAGCTGCCTTGGTCTTGCTAGTTTCCCATCTCGTCCAATAGGTGAATTCAGTCTTCTCAAATGTGACAATGTTGATGCAAAAGTCAAGCGATTCAACACTTGAGAGACACCGGCTCTTGCCTGATGTGCTTTCTTTTGGTCTCCCCAGTTCCCTGTGGCCAACGAATATCGTAATCCATCTGTTATCGTTTTTGTCTTGATTGCGTGTTCGATTTTAAAATCCTACGAAATGAAAGACAAGTAAAAAGTTGAATTTCCGCTCTATAATTGTTTCGTTGGTCACAAAAATCGATCCTCAAACAAGACAAAGCCAGCCAAAACTAGGTAGATTATTGAGAATTTTCTATGGTTTCTCTTTTAAAATTTGTAAATAGTTGCGTAATAGGACTTTTACAACTGAAGTGCAAACAGACAAATGAACTGGCATGGCAGTAAATCTTAAAACCAACAATAATTTGGGAGACGTGGCTGCCATTTTTTAATATAAATATGTATGAAAGTAAAAGAACATCAATTTAACTGTAGACTGTTTCAAGGACTTTAAACAAGTGCTCTACCAAATTTCTCAAACAAGTTTCTCAAAAATTGTGCTTATTTTGAAGAAAATTCCAGAGGTCTGAACAAAATTCAACTTGGTCTTAGCATTTCGAATTTGAACATACGCGTGGAAAATTGCGCAGGACAGATATTTTTGGAACTAAAACAGGCGAAAAGCACACAGGATACTGTAAACATGGAAAGCTTAGGCTTCTACAAAAAATTGTCCGTATAAACCATCTATATGTTAATGGGAAATGTTTCGAGTTATGTTTAAGCAGAAATAAATGAAAAAGAAGTTGAACACAACCTTTCCTTTGTCTATGAGTTTTGCAGCAAATATCTTGACTTCTTTGGTGAGGTTGCGAAACAGTCTGTGGATAAATTTGGAATATAAGGATGTGGCAAATTGATAATTGGAAACAAAAACATGATTTCTTGAATTTCTCCTATTCGAACAGGCAAAATTAAACTATCGATTAAATGACAAATTATAAAGAAGAACTTAACAGCATTTTATGATAGAAAACTCACCCCCTGAAAAGGAAGGCAAGCAAAGGACCGGCGAGATCCAATCGCTTGTTGCCATAGTGATCTCTGTCGTCGAGCTCTCGTCTTCCCAGTGCCGCCAAAAGAAGTCTGTGAACCATATACCTGTAAATAAATAAAAAGCTATTGACACAAAAACTGCTGCTTGTTACAGAAAAGAGCAAATTGTGCGGACATAACTTACACAATAACAAAATTATCCGATGTCGGAATATAAAGTTGTCTGTTAATGGGAGATGTCAGTGAATAAAGATTTCACTGTACATAAATGAGGCATCCGATGTTAGACTAGTAAACGAAATCTCCATTTCTTGAAGAAAGCTTAATGTCGTTCTTAAATCGACGTTGAAATGGGACAGACGATAATTTCTATGTTCCCGCGCCTCTCCCTGCGTTAGTGAGTAGTTACAACGCCTCTCGGTGTCACAACGCAAACATAACTAAATATCTGTCGTTCACTCGAAAGGTTTTACGTGATATTTTGCGGTAGAAAGTAACAATTTTGCAATCAACCATAAAAATAGCAGGTATCGCTGATAAATATGAACAGCGTGCACTTGGCTTTATGTACCTCACCGACCTCTCCACTTTTATGATCTCTCTAGAAAGCTTATACTTAGGATGTATTTTGAGAACTGATCGATTCCAAAAGCAGCAAGTCCATGTTCTCCGTAGTTATAAAACTGAAATGCTTAAACCTTCCTTGAATGGACAACATCATGCTGTCTAGGGCTTCAAAAAACAACTCTTTGGTAAAAATGATCAATCTTTTGCGGTAGCGATCTTGTATTGTTTCTATGTGGTATTCTGGTCTTTTGCTTTGGTAGCAGTTAACATAACGTAAGGCTGAAAAGTTAGAGGCTTTGCTTGAACTTAATAAAAGCGACGTCTTCGATAAATGAGGAGGATTAAACGTTGGCGGGAGCAGCAAGATGGGAGGAAAGTTTGGGTGAAAACCCCAGGGCCTGGACCCAATGAAAATAGCCGTATTGGGTAATTCATATCTGGTAAGGGCCCCAGCTTGGTCACGAAGGGTTTGAGCGTTTGTTGAATTCATTAAAGTAACTTGTTAATAGAAAATATCACTTCAAATTTTTTTTTACTTTCAACGGAAAACATTGCTTCGCTCCCATTTAGAAACGCCCTTTGGAGTCACCCATGTCATACCAATTTTTCATACATTAAGAAGCTAAAATGGTTCGCTGAGCAAATAAAAAATCATCGAAAGATAAGAAATATGGATGCTGCATACCCCAAAAAGTAAGCCTTTTTCGTTTCACAAAAATCACTGATTCCAACGTGGGGCAGCATCTCTTTGTGCAAGATCTCTTTCGCATATTGAATTCGCTTTTCTTTCGTGGCCCCGGGTGTAGCCCCTCTGGTGCCAATGAAATTCAGCGCTATGTTTTGCTCTTGTACAACAAATGCTTCATCCAAGGACGGTTTTACCTTAAATGAGAAGAAACACCTTGAATACTGCAATATACCTTAACATTTGGCGTGACTTATTTCATTAGTATATGATGCATTGGCACATACTCTCAAATCTCTTATAAAAGGAGGTTAGCAAAAACAGAAGGGTTTGAACGAGGGACGAAGGGGGTTTTTTTTCAAATTTTCAAGCGTGCAGGGATGAACATAAGAGATTTTAGGGTGTGAGCCTCTGCTCATATCTCATGAACAAATCTATCGGTATCAGCGATAATTATCATTACTCTACCGTTCCATATTCTGGAATCAACCTGCTGATTGCCTACATAAAAGACATTGTTTGAAATATCTAAAACTGCTGACCTTTTCAAATGGGTTTGGTCAAATCCTTTTCTGTGTCATAGTAAGAGCATCAAACGTCGACAAAATCACAAGCCTTGTTATGTATTTTAAAGGTTTGTTTACATAATAGAGAAGCGTATTATCATAAATAAACAATCTTGTTACCATATAGGTTTTGGTTAGAAATGCCTGTATGGCTAGACAATGAAATTTTAACTGACTCCCTAAAAATTTCTATCTTAAACACCGAACAGTTGATAAAATAAATTGGGGCAAAGGTGCATTGTTTCCAGTAACCAATGAATAAAACAGGATTAGACAAGTCGCTGATTGGTGCGTCCTACATATCAAGCTTCACATGGGCACACAAATTCATAGACAACTAGATTTTTTTTGATTGGCAAGAATGCAATCCTTTTGAATGGACAGAAGCATGACTGCCGATTACACGAGAATTCACAGTGGAAAAACATTTTTTAAGGCCCTTTTAACTTGGCTTTCAAATTTTGATGAAACTCTGTCAATCAAAGACATTTTTTTTAACAGGACAATTTCGGAGCCAAAAGTTTTCCTAGCCAAAAAATGAACAAATTGATTCTTAGACAGATCGAAGTGACATCTTCTGGGTAGACATTATCCAAAAGATTTTTTTAAAACTGACTTCCCAGCCTAATGGCAGATAAGGAAATCGATCAGACAGAATGACGCATGTTTTGAAGATGAAAAAGGTGATAACGACCACATGAAGAAATGAGGAATACAATGGACTTTGATTGAGGAGCGAATGCTTATGCAAACAGAGATAGTACCTACCATTTCCATCATTTCTTGATCGTCAAAGTCATATATAATATGTTCTAAGATGTCTCTATCTGACACAAAGCCAAGAGCCCTAAAAACAATCATGATTGGTATCTCCTGCTTTATATAAGGAATAGTAGCAACAATTCTTTGTCCGATTGCACTTTTCTTTGCACTTCCGCCACCCCTTGCGACCATAGAGACAAAAAGCGTGCTAGTGGGTCGTGATGACTGTTCCAAACACGATCTAATTTCACATGTGTAAGCATATTTTGAGTCTTTCTTCTGAAAAACATAAACAGTGTTTGTGGCCATCTTTTCTTGTGCTATCAAAACCTTTTCTGAGCCATTTATGATAAAGTAACCACCGGGATCCAACGGGCATTCGTTAAGCTCAGTAAGATCACGATCTGTTAATCCATTGAGCATGCAATATGTTGACCGTAGCATAATTGGTATCTTGCCAATGTATATCTTATTGCTGAGTTCAGTCTCTGGTTCCTGATTTCCCCGAATGACTGTCTTTTTGACGTCAACATATAGTGGGGCAGAGTACCTACAATGAATAAATAACATTTCACCTTGGGCATCTAATCTAGCAAAAAAAGGTCTTAGAAAAAAAAATATCTGTGACCAAGCTCTCCAACTCCTATAGTTACTAAAAATAAAGGCTAAAGAACTGGAATATCATTATTTGTGCAAATATGTGTCTTTTTTCAGATCACCTCCATCTTTGGGCTGTTGAGTTCTTTTTCTGGAAATCTAGATCAGTTGGTTCTCTTTATCAACTTGAATAACTTATTGAAATATAAACTTCAACACTTACGTTAAATTTCTAAGCCTTGCTTCATTAGGCATCATGGCTTTTGGAGCTCCATCCTTTTCCCAATGTGTTGGTTTTGAGAGATAAATTTGTTCAAACTTTAACTGGTATTTGGTCTAAAAAGAAAAGAGAAGGCTTACAGTTTGTTTTTATGTGACTGGACTGTTGGTAAAGAATGGGAAAACACATAGGTATTACTTTTTTCCATTGGTAGAGAGGACCTTTGAAACAAATGTAATTACATGTCATAAACTATTCTAAAGAGCTTTACATAATAAAAAAATCAAGCCCTCTGGGTTTACCCAGGTAATCATCATCTTTGCCCTGATCAATGCGTTTGTAGAATTGTATGAATGATCACAGAAAAGAAAAGCATACTTTAGGGGGAACTAAAAACTACTAATGGCAAAAATGAGTGAGGCTGCCATAATCTAACATGATGCATCTGACTTTATCATGATTATTTGCTTGAAACCCTACATATACTTTGTATATTGCTTTGACCCTTGATTGGAGATTGTTTGTAGAAAAATCACCTAAGTAGACTTTCCAAACATGATATTTCCAAACATTACTTTTTAAATATTGCATGCAAATTTTGACATGACCTCTAAATTAGGATCCAAGCCATTCTCTCTTAGAAAAAAAGTCACATATCCACAATAAAAAATTGCTATAGCTGTCCTCTGATTTACATGTACAGGCGTGGTCGTTTGTATTTTTATAGGTGAGCTGTGAATTGCTCCCCTCATTTGCTGAGGCGTAAATCAATGTAAAGCTAGCACAACACAAAAACAACAATTCTCTTGCAAAACAATCTTTTTGTTGTACAGAATTTGAAAATGGCTTTGAAAAAAATTTTTTTAAAAAAAGCTGAAGTTATACGTCTAGCACTCTTCAGAGAATAAAACGTCAGAACATAGATGGAAAACTCTATGCTAAAATACCCAGTTTTGGATCGAAATAGGCCAATCAGAAAACACGAGCACATGACTGTTGAGGTTGTCCAATCAGTGCCGCTTTCCTATTGAAAATGTTACCAACTGAGTCCTAAGGTGAAAACGAACTCACTTATGTCTACACAGAAGCGGTCGGTCATGTTTATATAGTAGATAGATTCACAAACTGTTAGATGGAATGATGATCAGGCTTTGCCATTAATGCCAAACATGTCGCTGTTATAGTTTTTCATCCAATCTGGGTTTTTCAGTAGATGCTGCTGGATAGTGGAATTCCATGTTTTGGTTGTCGTTTTTGATCTGCAAGACAGAGTACCTTGTTCTCTTTAAGGGATAGTTTTGTTTCTATTGCTGGAAGGGACCTGCTGTCTTATTATATCCGCAATCTACAATTCCTACCAATTTCTTCGACTTTCCTTCCAAAAATATTCCTGTTTTCTTAAGATTGAAAGGTTCTTTTACAAACGTACCTTTCGGTTAACTATCCTTTTCCAAATAGATAGAAGTTTATGTCTATCATAACAAAAACAGCCCAAAAAGCAAAAAGTTAATTGCAGAAAATGCAATGACGGGGGAAATCGCTGCTACAAAAATAAACCAATTAACCCTTGTGCGTTTTCATAATTCTCTGAATAGGAAATTTTAGGGGAGCGATTCTTCCTTCATGTTCTGTTTAGGAGAGCAATTCATTACTCGCCTCAGGTTGCGAGGGGAGCGTGGAGGCGAGCGTGAGCTATTGCTTGCCTCAAACGGCCAGGCCTGATGTACATTACGTGTTATTGACAAAAAAATTTCCAAAGAGAAATCTTTGAAAAATATTTACATACTGGTGGCTCTAGTTCTTGCTCACGGTATGATGTTTCAGCCTCTAATTCAATTTGTTGTGATTCCTCCACAATTCTTTGCACAGACATTTGAATAAACTCATCAAAAGAATCAAGCTGTTGACGAACAAGTCCTTTTTCATCAAAATATGAACTGATAACAATCCAGCATGCTTCCTGCCAAATATCTGTAGTGATTTCATCTCCTTCATCATCCCCATAGTTATCATCTGTAACAGAAAAATTGATTTTGCATATTGTTTCAACATAAAAAATAATGCTTGCAAAATATTTTCAGTCTTTTCAAATTGGCCAGACTTTTTCTGAATCACGATTTGAGTTTCCCTAATGCAACAAATTTTCTGCCTCAATTCAAATTTACTACCTTCTTTTTTTATTAAGACTGTTCTTATTGACTAGCATCAAACAAAAGAAATCATGAAACATAAGAAAAATGGCCTTATTCCATGGTATGATTATAAAATAAACTTTAGAAAATGTCAATTAAAATTGCTGCAGATGCCTTGGAAATTTGTTTGCTTGGATTCTGCTAACCAATGACTCTACGAAAAACGCATAGTATGTAAATGATGATGATGTATTTTCCCTGTGTCATCATAACTCTGTTTCCCTGAATTAAATTTAAACTACAACTTGTCTGCCCCATCTATCTACAGTTACTCCAAATGAAATTTTGGAAAATTGGCATAATTTTGATTCTGTGAGATTATTTCTTATGCCAATGGGATGTTCTGTCTTTGAAATCCAATCATTGGCTCCGTAAATTTTGTCATCTTGATACTTAACACTTCACCCCTGGCTAGGAGATGTGTACAGACAGAACTTAGAAATTTGGAAAGTGAGTGCAAAGTTTTTTAAGCTCTAAGTCACTGCAAGAGCAAGCAAAGAAATGACATCAGAAACATATCAAATTTTAAAGTAGCTGCTCCAGTTGTACAGAATCACACCGGTTTGCAATTATGCTTCAGAAAGGGTTGAATTTTTTTCTTTCTTTCATGAAGTACATTGGTGTCCCTAGAAGGTGACTCAGCACCATTTTTTCAGTTTGCTTTGACTCGCCTATTCTTTGAAAAACCCCAGCTTGCGAGGTATCTTTCAAGGAATTTCAAGTTGGTTGGCTATAGAAACCTGGACATTTGTTTTAACAATTTGTCATTAATATGCTCTCTTGATAAGCCCTCCCCTGGTCCCCCTTTGTTGGAGGCCCTGATTTGTACTGAGCATTACTGTGGTATTCACCAGACGTTTCTCTTTTTTGGTAGATACTCCATACATAAAACCTTGGTGCAGATCATGAACATCAAGTAAAAGAAGTTGCTATAATTTGAATTTATATAATGGAAATTGAGCATTACTAAGCAATATTTACTTGACATGAATTCTTAGATTGGTATTCACTTGGCATAAACATAGAAATATACTAGAATATTTATGACTTGTTTTTTTACCTTCATCCATATCATACATCATCTTGGATTGTCTTGGAGTCAACCAACTTAAAGTAATATACTCGGCTGGTTTTGGCCCACGTTTGAAATGGCGGGCTTTTCAGCGGAAAAACTCTTCTTTCTGCTGTTGCTTGATGGAAAAAATCTAGTCCCAGGAACGCTCAACTCCTAAAAATGCGTATCACAACATAGTAGATTTCCTTTAAATCCCGATTCATATCCCCGCCATCCTCGGATCGTACTTTTCTCTATCTGGCACCATCTTGATGGAAGCACGTTAATATCCCATAATGCACTGTTCAAAAGCCGGGGGTTGCCATAACACTGCTATGAAATTTTTTGCAATTAAAATGTAAAAATAATTCTAGCCTCTATCAACATGATAAAGTCTATAACATGTCGAGTTATTCTGCTGAAATAAAGCTGGCCTAAAGTACTACTTTCGTGAAGATGGAGGCTAAAATTATTGTCAGAGAGTAAAAGCAACACCCCCGACATGTTCATGTCTCCAAAAGTGGTTGCTGTTGCTGGAGTCAATGAAGGGATCAACAAAGACCAAGAACGTCTAGACTGAAGTTGATTTCTATCGTATGCTTGTATTTGCAATGTATCAATCTACAATTTCAAAATAGCTGAAATTTGGAATATTGGTGAATGGTGTTAGCGGCTGGTTGCGTCATTTGATGTATGTATTGCATTTCATACGCAACTCTGTTTGCAAATAATTTCAATAAATCTAAATGCATCATTTCATTCCCGTAATTCTAGAGCACAAAATAAGCTAATCATGTTTTAGTAAAAAAAACATCAACTGGAAAGGTTAATGGATGGTTAAATGAATTAACTAAAACCTTCTTAGGTTTGGGTTGAGGACTCCTTTGTAGTTATTTTTGTAAGTAGAGATTGAGTTAGGATTCGATATTGCCCTTAATCTGAAGGATGTATATTTTGTGTGTTGCTTTAAAAAAGCGAAGGATCATCACAAAAAATTCTCTGAAAACAATAGGTGGGCTCCTTTTTGGCATTTGAAAGAGGGGGCTTGGCCCACTGAGTTCCACCCACCTACACCTGTTACGCCAAATTCAAATTTTCTAAAGGGTAGCTTCAGATTTGAATTAAAAATATTTTTGCATACTGAATGAAAAATATAGCAGATGCCAGTTTGCTGATTATAACTAAATTTGACAAGATCTTAGATGCACCAACACCCAGTGGCGGATCTAGACAAAAATTTGAGTGGGTTCCAATATGGGCATGGTCCCATATTTTTCTGGCAACGCCCTTGACTTTTTCCAAATTTGGGTGACGCCCATTTTCGCTTTTTGATAAGATTCACAATTGCAAGATTTGATTTTAACAAGATATATTATTTCATCATGATTCCAAGACAAGTAAAAATATAAATCTGTTAACCAAACCAGGAATTGTCATTATGAATTCTAAAAGAATGGTTTCGATTTCTTGCCAAACAGAAGACCTCAATAAATTCCTCTAGCTGGTTACAGCAAGACATAACCTTACTGAGTGTTGCAAGATTTGAGTGAAATTCCTGCTATAAATATTGCCAAATAATAAACAAGACAAATTTACATATATTCACCAAGTTTGTCAAAAATGGATAACGATGGACAAAGCCTCTTATCATATATGAAATCATCTTATCCCGTTCTCAAAGTCTTTCATTTTATCTTAATAAAGTTATCTCACTCTATAGATAAATATAATATGTATAGGGCTTCAAGAGTTCTATAAGCTTTCTACGTCAAAGAGAAAATATCTTCGACATTCCTGAGTTCCTGCCAAGAATTCTCTGCTGCTAATTGCAACGCATTCTTTTGTGAACGCCACTTTACAACTATCTGAAATGGACTTTTCGCTAGATCCATGAGAAAAAAGCGGTGATCTGTTTTCTCCAGGTTGGCTAGGCCAGTCGAGAAAAATGAGCAAATAGTTGGCGAGGCGTGTTTGAAAAGCTTTCTTGAAAAATCACAGCACTCTTCCATACGATTATCAAATTTTATTGATCTTCAGGTGCTGCTCCCTTCCTGTTTGAGGGCTTAAAACAAGCTCTCGTCATCGTGCAGTCAAAGCCTCTACTCGCAGCTTCACGTCGCCATTATGACAACAGGAAGCATGTATGGTCAGCGGTTTAAATAAGTTCCAATGAGTTCGTGAGATGGGTTCCAAAAGGGTTTTTTTGTTTGTAGCAAAAACAATATAAGACAATTGATTGCCATGGCTACGACAGGGTTCCTTTCTTAAAAAATACAATATGGTACAAAGAGTTGCCTTGGCTACGACAGGGTTCCTTTCTTTAGAGGAATATAATATGTTACAAAAGATAACCATGGCTACGACAGGGTTCCTTTCTTTCACAATACCATATTTAGAGAGCAGCAAAGGTTTTGGTACAAGAGGCCATTTGACGTTGGGACTGGTTGCGATTAATTCGAAAGTAAAGGGAAAACTGATGTTATGTGTCTTTGGAAAATTTGACAGGGTTCCAGAACCCTTGGAACCCGGTCTGAATCCGCCACTGCCAACACCCCCTGCACCTCAAGTGCAGGTGTGCAGAATCATCTGAGAATGCCAGGTGCATCAGTAATAACATTTTTCCAGTTTCTAATGAATAGATCTAGTTTTAAACCTGCCATCAGCATTATCATGTCTGCATCTCTGGTGCATCATCACCATGCTCTGCATACTGGAGTAGATGCATAAGATCAGTGTAATACAGCAAACAGAAATTGCACAAGAGGTTACCAATCTTTATGGAAAACATAAAATTGGTAACAGTATGGTAACCAAAACAAGATTATAAATGATTAATTTTCCCAATTTTGTGTAAATTTTCATGCCAAGCATATTTAAAAATAATTTGACGAAGTATTTTGCCACATTGGCATAAGTTCAGCAGGCCTTTTCGTAAAAAATATCCCACGCGAGTTGCCCATCACTCGCATGATTTCTCTTGCACGAGCGATCGCCCTGATAGTGATAGCAATGATCTTATAAGGTACCTTTCTGTTTGTGGTAACATCAAATGAAAACAAACTGTTATGATGACCTTTAACACACTCCAAGAAAGAATAAATACCAATTACAATGTGCTTTGTTTATAAACTTTATGTATATCATGAAGGTCATATAGATGTTATTGCCAGATGATCGCAAAATGTTGTTAAAAATCTGCCGTAGATTCCGTACACAATATTTGTTTATCTGGTCATGTTTCCCGCGAATATTCCACCATTTAAACTTCTGACTTATGATAACAAGAAAAAACAAAGAATACAAGGTCTCTTTGAAAGCCTTTGCTTCAAATTCCGTGCATGATTTTGCAGGAAACACATATTATCTGCAAATTTCAAAATTATTGTTTTGGTGTTACCAATGCAGAAAAATACTTTACAGTCTGGCTGCCCAGAAAATGTCCTTAGTGCTATTGTAGTTCAAATACTAGTACCTAAAGTATTCCTAAAGATTCGCTGTGGAATTGATTTTCAAAAGCATTATTTCACTAAGATGTGGTTAAGTCAGCTTACTTATCAGTCCTTTTCGTTTAGCGCGTGCGATCGCACCCGCACACGCCTGCACACGCGCAAGTTAAATTGCGCGTGCTTTTGACCACACGCGCAAACAGGTGTTTTTGCAATTTTCTGTTAAAGGGCCAAATTTTGCACTTGCATTTTATTGGCAATTTTTATAAAGAAGTTGAGCCTGCTGATCACGAATTCGTTATTTGTTTTTTGATATTTTTTTACAGTTTGTGAGATATAAGCTCTTGCATTTCGATAATTTAATTGAATTAACCGACAAAAATTTTTGGTTTGGTGACACTGTGACGCAATTTTGACGTCACAGTGTATTTCGGATAGTCTCGCCTCAAACCGAATCAAACGACGGCGATTCGCAAATTGAACATTGCAAGTGATGGTACTCTCAGTTCTGTTCCACCAGCTTTTAGTTTGAGCATTTCAGACACCAATTCTGAAGCCTTTAGTTGTTCATCGTTTCTGGAGAACAACTGAAGTGACAATTTCGATAAATTATACGCGAGGGAAGAGCTGGAACAGGAACTGGAACTGGATGCAGTTATCAACGCGTGACCATGAGTCCTTCACGCTTCGGTGGAAGATATACGAAATTCATGGCGAACGAGAGCCGCACATTGTGACGTCAGAATGTCACCAAACTGATTCGGCTTTTGTCGTTTTTTTCTCGGAAAGGTGCAACTTTAAAGCCTTACAACTTCTAAACTAATTGGAATTTTTCAAAAACAATGACTTTGTCATAATACACGCACCAGATGCTAACTTTTAAGTCATTAAAAAAAAATTTTTTTTTGCTGGAGAGGCCCTTTAACATCAATTTCCCATGGTCTCATGATTGTTTATCCTTTCCCTTGTTACTTGATTCGCACTTTTGACCACAATATGATTTTTCCAATTTTCGGAAGTGATGTTTGGCTTTTGACTGAGTGCTCCATTCAACTTAGCGTCTCGTCTTTCAGCTAAGTCGCCATTAGCATGTTAAGTGTAATAACTGATTTCCTGTCAAAACGTAATTAGGCCCTGAAAGCAAGTAGCTGTTGGAAACAATTTTTACTTGCTCTTGTAACTTTGGAGAGTTACGACGACTTTTAAAAGATGGCTGCTAAGGGCAACAAAATATGTTATGTATTGATTAATTGAGTTTTGCTCTTGCACGTATTCGAGTGGCTTGTTCCTTCTTGCTCCTTTTACCAATTTTATCAGGTTTGTACTTCAAATTTTCTGACAAGTGCGATCGCACGCGCAAATTTGTTTACATGTGCGATTTGCCACACACGCGTAATTTTGCTCACGAAAAGGACTGCTTATATTTCCTGTGTTTTTCAAAGTATCTTCAAATTGACAAGAATGTATTGTTTGTTCACTGGGGCTCTCTTATAATTTCTTGCAGGAAAATTGAGATTAGTTGAAAAGAAATATGGCAATGGACAATAAACAGAAACGAAGGAAAGTGAAACAAAAAGATTATATAGGATTAGTCAATCCACCTCATGCCTCTGAACTTTGGGGACACAACAAGGATGCGATAAAGCATAATGAAAAGGGAACAAAAAAGGGGGAACAAATGAAAGTGAAACTTGAGGATTATCTGTCAGTATTGAAGATGATGAGCCCAGAACATTCCTCTGACAAGCATGGGAATAAATCATTGTTAAAAAGTACAAAGCAAAGAAGAGAAATATTTACTGATGGCTTTCAGTCAAAACCTCAAGATCCAAGAAAAAGGGCAGTGTTTTTGGAGAGCAATGTAAAAGAGAAAGAGAAGGAAGAGAAAAACATAGGCATGAAGAGTGTCAAAGTAAAGAGGTATCATTCACCAAGAGAGGTTTCCAAGGTTTTAGAGGACTGTACTTCACCTAAATATCAACAAAGACATGGCCGAAGGCATTTAGAGGAAGAAAATCCTCTTGATTTTGGGGCCTATCTTCATGACAAATTCAGTAGTTGGCTTCCAAAGGCAAAAGCTAGTGTAAAAGAGAAAATTCCTGTTGTTAATGGCAGTTCTGGTTCATATGACCTTCTGAAAGGACAGGCTGAAGCTGATAAATCATTTTCAACTTCTTCAGGGTCCAAAGACTTAACAAAAAGTGATAGTTCTGAAAAAGAAATTTATATAAGTTTAGAAAAGAAAACTCCTCGAGAGAAAAATGAGTGTATTAACAAATCAATGCCCAAACTTCTCAAAGGTTATGAAACTTTAACAGAAGTCCATGATGGCAATGTAAGTGCAGAAACTGTTACAAGGAAGGACAGTTTTGTAGAATAATAACATAAACTGCTACACTGACTGTACATCATGGGTGCAAAAGTTATCTGCAATTTTATTTACAATAATCAGGTACCAAAAATGTAGAATATGATGTAATTATCTCTGCACATATTAAAATATTTGCATTATTGAATTTACTAAATGTTGAAACTTTATTAAAATAATTGATCTGGAATAAAAATCAGGCTGTATTTATGCAAAAATTTAGGAACAGTTTGGTCTGTTGGTTTGGTCTGGAAGTGTTGTGAAATTATTTTGCAAAAGGGGCTCCAGGCTCCACCCATCTACATAAGAGCTTTACAGAATGGTACCAGATGGAGCTACTTTCTAGGTAATACCATTTCAGAGGGACTGACAATCAGTGATGGAAATTATGGGGAGCATCAGCCTCCCTTAATCAGTGTTCTCATCAGAAAATTTGGGCTTTTGTCAGATAATTGACAAAAATTTAGCATGCAGAAAGCCTATCCAATATGTTCTATTATAAGAAAATTGTGGGCCTGAGCCCCCCTCCAAATGAAAGCCTGAATTTCTGCAATGGCTGGCAGCTTTATCTGAAAAAGTTCTGATGGGTCCATTGTAATATTTATTTTGGTATGTTCCCTGATGAAATCAATTTCATGAAAGCGCAGATTTAGATATGCTCATCTGTTCTAGGATATTAAAAAATCCCACATGGGTTTAATGGGCATTGCATAGTAGTCCTCTACGGCCAGGGACCCTCTGCACACGGACACAATCTCAGCCAAGTGAGTGTCATTAACTTTGTCACTGAATGATAAACCAAGCTTGCATAAATTTGGTGCATAATGCAATGACCTATATGGTAGGTAGAATGAATTGTCCAACACCTGCAAATGAACAGAAAGTATATTTTTAGAACTAGACAATTTTATCTAAAATATTTTAGCATGGCACAAATTAGAAGAAACATTACCCATAATTGGTCACAGTATGAAACATTGGAAAACAAATATAAGGTGAATTAAATCTAATACCAAGTTTGGATCCAAAAGGAAAAGAAGATTGAATTTTTGGTTTGGTTGACAAGTTGCCAACTGGTATATCATTATATCATTGTAGAGTCCAAGTGAAAATATTAACTCTTTCTTTCAACAAAGGTTAGGGTTTTTTATTCATAAAAACAGATGTCAAAATAACCTAAATAAAAAGAAAATGTGATTCTAAAATGTGTGCCACTGTCTGTTTTTTTTAATTTTCTAGATTTTAGAGCAGCTGTTGTCCTATGGCAAAATATTAAGGAACATCTTTTGAATCTGAAGCACTATCTAAAATAGTAAAATTGTAGTTTTTAAGTACCTCATCTGAAACAGAAACGCCTTTCTTAGCAGCATAGTTGCTTCTTCTTATGCGACTTCTTATCGCCTTAAGGCAGCTGCGCCATTCAGTTCGATCTGAGATAATTGGCAAGAATGGCTTTGAAGTTATCCGCTTTAGGCCAGCCAGCACAGCTTCATTGAGCATTGGACAAGACCCCAGGAGTGTTGATATTGTGTCATCTGTTAACATGCAGTTCCAGCTTAGATCAACAAATGTCAAGTTTCGCAAACTCCTAACCATAGGCACTGCTTGTGAATCAGTTAAGTCTAGAATTACAAAGGTTTTATATACAAGTATCTACAAGAATATGAAAGGATAGAAAATAACAATAAAACTGACACAAAAAGCAACTGATTTTAGGCAATTCTTTCTAAGGTAACCTTCTTTTTCAAAATTTGCTAAATTGCATTTTTTTCTCCTTCCTTATCCAAAATTTAGTTGAAAAGTGACTTTAAAAACTGCTTGAAGAATGCATGGAGCATTCTGAGAAAAAAGGGTCATATCATTCTTTGACAGTGGCCCTTTTCAATGTAAGAACTAAATTACTTTCTCAGAAAAACATTTTGGCCTTTTAGTGCATCAGGCTTTGTCTTGCCTGAGCAATTATGTTATTGATGGTCAGTGTTTGTTCTTAGGGGAAAAACATAACCCCAGCAATTAGACTGATACACCTGTCACGCAGTGGGAAACTGTCAAAGCAGACTAGCAGGAAGAGAGGAAAAAAGAAGTATGGTAAGGAGCAGGAAGATAGGGAGAATAAGAGACGGGCTTCAGGGGCAGCGCCAAGAAATTCAAAGTGAGGGGGCCCTAGTTGATAACATTATTAGACTAAAAAACCAACTTTTGAAAACACACTGTAATGCTTCACGATATTTTATGCCTATAATTTTATGGGGCACTCGTTATGCTAGCAGCGGTACATTTGAAGGCCGGCGAGAGGTTGTCGAGGGCCTTAGGTATATCCAAAGCGGATGTTTCCTTCCGAGCAAAGCGAGCAGAGAATTTTTGCAACCACGCTTTCTTGACTAGCGTAAAAAACATTTCAGAATGTTACTTGCGGTCCTTTTTGCAAACATTTTGTATTTTCAAGGCATGGTTTTTACGTTTGATTAATTCCAGTCTTAACATGGAATTTGCTACATTATGGGCATCATATACCCCGGCTTATTCCTTTCAAATTAGGCAATACTGTGAAGGAATTTTCGCACAATTCTTTTCTCCTATTTCTATTTTTTTCTATTCTTCTTATTCTCTTCAAACACTTTTTTGCAAAAAACTTTGGAGCCCCCCAGCCCCCTAACTGGCGCCGCCAATGGACTTTGAGGGGCAAGCGCGTACAACATGCTGACCCAGCTGCGGTGTAATGGTCTTTAGCTGGATATAATAAGGCACCATGAGATAATTTGCATAATAGTAGATTGCAAATTGTGATTGTCGACCTTGCATGGATGTACACGTAGAATAAAACCACTCTTTTAGAGAGCTATGAGCACTTTACCCATGCGCATTAACTCGAATTAAGAAATTACTTTCCATATAAAGCAATGTTGCCGCTTTCCATATAAAACAATGTACTCTTTCTCGTGTCTGCTTGCTCAATAAAATTCACAAATGACATTATATTACGTGCCCCAAAAATTTGGTGGAACTTATTTTTAGTGAAGTAGGTCACTACCATGCTTGTCTTCCATCCTTCTGGCATTCCCTGGAGTTTCATCGTCACTTCAATTCCTAGCTCTTCACTTTTCTCGCTAGAGTCTTTGAATTAGTACAATCATTAGGCTATACCGATCTTTCAAATGAGGTTCTGATACAACTTATATTATATGGCGATAAAGACCTCCCAAATGACCTCAACAGAAATATAATCGAGTTGACATTTCAATACATTCACACAACCGGTAGATTCGAATAAGGTCACTGTTACCTTGCCACCAAGTCTCTTTTCACATAGTTTTGTATGCCTACTTCTTCTTTCGCCCATTTCGCATTTGACACTAGGTTTATTATAGTGTTAATGACTATCCACCTTGATTCCATACCAATCTTCTGATTCAATTACATATTAGGTATAGACCTTGACCATTATAACGTATTTTCCAATGGCGTCCAATGTGAAACGGGCTTAAGTATTTACCGTATATGTATCTGTTGTATTTTACTATGTATGTATTATTATAATCTAGTATATGTATATGTAGTATTATAGTTTTATTATTAGTTATATTTAGATACTTGTCATATCCCAGGGGCAGTCATGATATATTGCTCCTCCTGGGTTCCGTCCTTGTAATGTAGTTTATTAGTTCGTACGTACTGTTTTAGGTAATTTGTTATTGTAAGTTTTCATACCGAATAGAAAAAATAGCTCTTCACTCCAAAGACTGAGACACAAATTTTCGTTCGAAGGGGAGCAACAGCCATTTTTTAACATTATTAACGTGACAAATAATTAACATTAAACTCACCTTTAATGCTACAAAGACCAAGATGTGTCAACTTTCCACTGATGCAAGGCAAAGCTGCTATGGTCTTTGTGGATATTTCACACTGCCTTACATTAAGATATTCCAACTTTGGGCACGAATTAACCAAATCGCACAGGCTTTCATCTGTAATGTTTTCACACCAGGATAAGTCGAGCCGTGTAATCTAAACAAAATAAATATTCTGCATGAAACTGATATATAATGTAGAATATGTAGAATTGAATTCTTCATTTTCATGAAAAATGAACTGCATCTTCTTGACAAATGATTAAGAAAAAATTGTGATGCAATTGGAAAACAAAGAAAAATAAATTAAGAACAAAGCCAGAATGATCAGATATCTCTACCTTTGGCAAGCGTGCCCAAAGATCAGAGTTTTTGATGGGCACAATTTGTGCTGGGCAGTTGTAAGGGCATTTAGAAAGCTTTTTCAATACTGTGTCTTCGACATGATTGACAGGTTGTCTTTGATTTTGCATGTGCTGTCAAAATGTTTGGTCCCAAGGAGTCGTCCTTAACAAAATGTTGTGCAGCTCAGGTTCTGGCTGAAAATCTTGTGAAAGCTCAAATTCTGCATTGCAGTAGTTAGGGAGAAAAGTTCTCTCAGCCGAATTCGCTGAAAACTACTTATGTCAGCCAGATATGAGGGATGACGTACAGGGGGTACACCTGCATCCAGTTCTACAGTTAACATGACTGTAGTGGCCAAATTCGAAGTGGTCAATTCCCCCTTATTTCCACCACAGTCGATTGAAGGTCGTCAGACAGGGTCTGTGAGACAAATTTCCTGTTAGTCTTTAGTTTTACTTATTTTAATATTGTGAAGTCTTCCTCAAGTGATGTAGTTTGGTCAGTGGAATCCATCTTGTTGAGAGCTTGCTGTCCAATGAACGAGTTGAAAAGACGCTCAGAAAAAAATTGATTGATTGGGGTGTGTACGGGTAAGATATATGTAAATTTCACTGATTACTGCCAGTAGCGAGTTGAAATAGCCATAAAGAATGCATTTCATCTTTAATCAGAGGGTCAAAAGGTGTGCTCTGCCTAACGAGCCTCGATGCAGAGAGGAGATGATGAAGAACTTCACAGTCCTCAATTTAATAGTGTTTCCACTTGGAAGGATTCATTCCTTTTTTCGGGAATTATAAAACAGAAAGAACTAAGAAGGACTTTCTAAGAAATTGGTTTAGAAATTTCTGGCTTAGAAATTAGAAACTGGGTTGTCAGTCAAAAAGCGGGCCACTTACATAGGAAGAGCTTCAAGGTTTACGCAAACTGTCAGCAGTAAACTGATTTGGCAAATTCAATGTTATAACTGTATACAAAGCTGCTTTTACAATTTCTAATTTGAATTAGATATCCTGAAAGATTTCTAAATGTGTGAAATCATTTAATGTGTTTAAAACTGGCTTAGTATGACAGTGAGTAAATTGAGCACCGATCTGTCCCGTCACATCAGAGCAATTTTGTCCCTGTTCTAAATTTGATGAACCATGCCAAAATAGTAGAAACATGTAGCAAATTTAATATCATCTAAGCAAATAGAAGGAAATTTTGGAAAACTTGTCGAGAAAAAGTGCAAGCACTGCAAGTTTCCTGCGCTTTGGTAAAAACAAACGAATAATTGAAATGTAGTTTTAGCTGTGTGTAAAACACTTATTTGCACGTGGACTGTTGAAATTGGCAGATCAACAAAATTTGCAACCCCGATATGAAAGGTTTTTTGACAGAAATAATACTTATGAATGTAAGTAAATTGTACCAGGAATAAAAAATAGATTTAATGAATATTTTAAGGTTTATCATCGGCTTTTCATTTCTACATGATAATGGGCTATGCTCGAAACGTCATTATTCATTAAATCTATTTTTTATTCCTGGTACAATTAACTTACATTCATAGTTGTTATATCATTATATTGTACCACATGCAATCTAGCATATTATTCTGGCAGAACTACAAAACAATAGGCATTTCAAGACATTCTATTGTTGTTTAAAAGGCTAAACTTTGATAAAGCAACAAAAAGCAACAAAAATCATGTAAAATACTAATATTTGCAATTTAAAATAATAAATGTTCATATTAAACACACACAAACTCCTTCTAGTTAGCTGTGTGGAAATCTTTAAAAGAGTCAACATTCAAAACGAATCACTCAGCCAGAGAAATCAATGCCTTATATCTTTTCAAATTAGCTTTTCTGCTATTACATAAGGCCAGTGGCGGCTCGTGACTTTCACAGTTGGGAGGGCAGACCATCAATATTGCGATAATCGAAAGAAAGGTCGAGTTTGCAAATTTTTCACTGTATTCATAGTTCGATGTTGATCGTCATGGAGCGCAGAAGAAAAAGCATATATAGATGTGGTTGTTGTTTAGCGATGATGTCATTTCATGGGCAAAATTTTTCTTGCCCCGAATTCCTCCAAATAAGCCAATCACAGGCCGCGTTTCGCAATGCTCGAGGTCGAAAATTAGCTGGTGCGCATGTCGGCTAGGGGCAAAAAAAAATTGCCCGTAAAATGACATCATCGCTCAAGGCACTAGCGGGCCAGAAGCGAGGCTAAGGACGAGACAGGATAGCAAGGAGCTTTTTCTAGCAGAGATACAAACTTATATAATTAACCACAGTAAAACTATCTTCAAAATTAAACATGAATATAATAGATTTCCTTTGAATCTTTTTGAGGGGGCATTGCCCCAGATGCCCATTAGCAAGAGCCGCCACTGCATAAGGCTGTAATTCAGATTGCTATAATATTAATACAGAACATGAAATTAAATAGGAACATACCGTCAGGCTGCAATAATTGGCAATATTTCTTAATGTTGTATCTGTAATTGCACATTCTGCTAATGTCAGCTCTTCGAGTAGCCCTGATGAAAGAACATCAAGAAGTCCTCTGTCACTTATGAATGGAACTCCCTGGAGATCCAAGATTTGTAGATTTTTACAGTACAGTCCAACAGCAATAATACCCGAATTTGACAAGCATTCACACTCTGGCTTTAAAGGAAAAACAGCTCTCAGTAAAGTAATGCAACAATCTTGGCAGTTGAAGGCTGTGGACAAATTTTTATGTACAAAAGTCCTGTACAAAAGTAAGGCATATCGTACAAAAAAAATTAATGAAAATTAATGAAGAATTTTGTCAAGAGGAAGTGACGGATAAGAAGACACTTTCATATGTGCGATAGTATGTGGAAAACAGGCAAAATGGTGATAATATGATGTGGGCGAATGGTGATCAAGATTATTGATGGTTCACAATGATTGATTATTATGATGAAATGTTATTGTAGCTGAATAAAGAAAAATTTTGGCATTTGCACTGAAGTCCTCATGAAGCAAGCTTCATACACTTAAAGGCAAAGAAGCTACCTACCAGACCAAGTTTAATCAGCCTTGGTTCATTTCTGGCAATTTCTTCCAAAATCGCGTCAGTAAGTCCTGTCCATGAAATGCACAATGAGGTCAATGAATGATTAGAATGAACAAACATTTTGATGCAGTCCTTGCCAACATCTGAATCATAAAAGGAGATCTGTGATATATCAAGTTCTGTTATATGGCTTACAAGCATCTGTCTTGGTTTATAAAACTCAACTGCTGCTGACAATTTAGCCTCAATCTCAGATTTGTCAATTTCACTTCCATACTTTTGTTCAGAAGAGATAACAGATTTTTGCATGACTCTTGTTGCATCTAAGTTGAGATCGTGTGCTGAAATTTGAATCGATTTACTCAGAGTTTTCATCCTATCTTGGTTATTTTGGTAAAAAGATTCAGATGAAGTAAACGACTTGGCACTATTTCCAATATTATTAGCAACATCAGGAAAAACAAAAGGGGCAACCTTGTTTGGACACAGAAAAGCAACCTCTGACAAGTCTGGTAATTTGCTTTTTTGGGTGCCATGAACAACACTATATTCTTTGGGATCATTTCCAAAAAAATTCTTACAATTTGAACTGACTTCTCCTTCGAAACCAGTTGAGCTTTCTTTAACTATCTTTGAATACGTTTTCTCGTATTCGTTTGACAAATCATTCCATGTGGTATATGTGTTTGAAGTACCTAAAGCCTCTGAAACAAAATTGTTTATTCTACTGCTGTGGTGGTAGGTTTCTGTATCACTCCATCTAGGCTTTGCAGCCACAGTTTTAGTTTTAATATTAAATGTTGAATTATTGGTTGAAGCCAATATTCCTACATGTTTTCTATATTTATCATAATAATGTTCTGGATTAGAAAACAAAGTGGAGGCTGTCTTATTTTCTGTTTTCTGAATATCTTCTGAAATACAACTAAATGAGTGGGCCCGTCGAAGCCCATTTCTTCCTTCTAAATTGCAAATAGAGCAATGATATGTGTTAGCAAGTTTTCCTTGATATCCATTTTTGTGAGGCTGAGGCAATTGGCATTTGCAGGCAGATGATGTTGTGTCAGCATAGTGGTTATCTTGAGATGAATAGGAAAAGATACATTGCTTCAAAAACCCATCTTTTAATACACATGGATGATTTTCTTGCTCGAAATGATCTGCTCCTGGATTTATGCTTTCACAAAAAGAAGAAAATGTGCCATTTTCCTTTGTTACAATCTCAGCAACAATGGATTCTGTTTTCTGGGCTAGGTCACCTCCACTGGCAATATTGTTATCCTTCTCTGTTGGTACCAAAAACATCTCTGATAATCTTTGTGAGTTAGAATTAATAGAATCACTTTTGTTCATCTCTTTTATCATTTGGAACTCAAATTCTTGCGAAGCTTCTAATTCAGCTACAGAGCATGGCAGATTTTTCTCATCCGCGTGTGTTGCTATGAAAACAGCAGATGACAAACTAAATCCAGACAAGTAAACCAAAGCTGTACAATCAACTTTGGTCCAAGAAATATCCACACTTTCCAATGTTGATCCACACAAAGAGAAAAGGTTTCTCACAGATTTACTTGAAATTCCTTGACAGCCAGACAAATCTATTCTTGATAAAGAGCTAAGTATTCTCTCTCCATCTTTGCAACTCTGGACAAAGCTTTCAAAATTAAACATTTCGTCTGTCAAACAGGGGCTGCATGCCAAGCTCAGATATTTTATGTGGGCACATTTTGAGATAATGACCTGCAACAAGCAACAACATTAGCTTCTAGAATGGATAACATTAATTAATCAATCAAAATTCAAGGATTTAACATTGTTCTGAAATGTTTATAAAAAAATGAAAATTTCCACTTGAAGCATTTTGTGAGAATAAAAGCAAACCGGTAGACAGGGGAAAATTTCAAAGAATAAGACATATCCAGAAAGACAGTCGTGTTCCCATTTATGTAATAATTTGTACTATGATTACTTGAATGAACACATTGATTTGCCCCCATGGATAACCTTTAAAGCACTCAGGGAAACCACAAAGAAAATACTAGAAGGATCTTATGATACTTAATTAATCTTAGTTGCACCCAGGATGCACCTCCATGTTCATTATAGGCACTCAAAGGTGTAAAAAATATATACACCAGTTTTATGGAAACTTCTCGCATGAAGTTAAACACCTACTTTCATTTGACTTGTGGCTACAAAGCAAAATGAAATGAGAGGGTGAATTAATGAAACTGAGTTTAAAAGACCTGTTTGATGTTAAGTTCCTATCCTGGGTAAAAGTTTAATTACAAAGGAGAAGGTGCTGTTTCAGGAAACCACAATATGAAAGGCACTATGTCCAGGCCTGGCCATAAGACTCTTAGCAGGGAAACAGAACTTTCTAGTAACAGCTCTCCTAGTAACTTCCAGGTGAGCTATTTATAGATTAATAAGAATGGAAACAAAGGAAAAATTGATTTCAAGGAGAGCTAATTTCTTTTTTTAGAGCACTTTAGGAGAGCAATATGTAGCTCCCCTCCAGTATTTGAGGAAAGCCTGGAGGTGAGCTCAGTTGTTAGAGGCGAGGATGGCTCAGTTGTTAGAGGTGCTGACTACAGACCCAAGGGTCCGTAGCTTGAGTACCTGGTATGACCAAACTTTCACCCAGAGTGAGGAGAGTTGCCAGCTCTCTGTAATTCCAGGCATAGGAATCATGAAGTGTGGTCACATCAAGAGGAAGGACCAGGACACTGCTCGATAAGCATAGCTTCTCAGTGTCCTTAAAAACTACCTTCAGATGCTAGGTAGCAACAAATACAAATACAGAGCAAGAGCAATAGCTCTCTTCAAATGGCCAGGCCTGTATGTCCTGATACATTCCAAAAGCAATTAAAATTTCCAATTTTTCCATTGGTTAGAATATACAATAGACATACTGTTACCAATTCAATAGGTTGTTGACTGATGTTCTGTAGTACCTTAAACTAATTTTCCTCAGAAAATTTTTGCAAATTGAACTTACCTTGACAATATCATCACATAGGTTGTCACATGACTCAAATGAAAGCGACTCCAGATGTTGAAGATGCAAAGCCAAAACATTTCCCAAGGATGCATCAGCAAGATTTTCACAGCTTGAGATATCAAGGTGTTTAATATGAGGCTGGCTGAAACAAAGATATTTTATTCCTGGAACATCATATTGTATTCAATGAAAGTTCCTTGTTTTCTGAAAAAACCCACTGGCTCTCCAAGCATCCTGTTCTAAGCTAAAGGAGGCTTTATG